CATAATAAAAATTTCACTTTATTTTTTTTCTACGGGCATGCCCGTATACAATGTACAAATTATATACACAAAATCTTACGACTACATTTACCGACAACAACAAAACAGGTAATACAAATCGGAGGGTGTGTCGGTTGAAAACCAGTCTGTGTGTGTGTGTTATTTCACGGCTGCGACGGCAATCCAGACTATTATAGGAACGATCCTACCACCGATGCAAACGTCGCGTGGCCAGACCAGATTTATTTTTCTGTGTGATCGTCAGTACTGTGCGCGCGCGCGAAACCGTTCCGTGTTCCGTTGTTTATAGAATAAATGTTTTTCTCGTTAGCGATTTTAAACCGTTTGGACATCCATAAGTTCGACATCGTCGTCGTCGTCGACAATAGAATAATGCCCCCACGGAAGAGTGAAATGACTATCAGGTAATTGGAACCGTTTATCATCATCGTGAGTCATGGCTACTTTCGATACAATCTGCGTGTATATTTTGTGCTTTTTCGATTTGAACAAGCACATTTTACGCATAGTCCTTACACTCTCGAGTGATATGCAATTTAAATAATCGTGTTCGGCAATAGTTTTCTGAACGACAGCCTTTTGAATGCCTTTCAGAATTTTTTTTTCACCCCCCACCCCGTCAGCCCGAATATAATACGACTTACTTCGAATGCCGATAAAAAGTAAAAACAACGTGCCGCCTAATTCATCTTTTATTTTGTACAAACACTTTTTGTTCACCAGCGGAATATTGTATTTATTTTGGGGCGGATAATTGCTGGTGTCAAACAAATTTATATTATCCCGGATGTCTTTGTACACGTCCGGCGTTTCAATTGAGTAATACAGGGAGTCAGTATCTGTGTACAAAAGCACAGCTTTATCGCCGTACTTTTGTTTAATAAATTTATAATGAAAATCGTAGAGAATTAGTTTGGCCAATTCTAAACACACAAAACCTTCATAACAAGGCCGATCATAACAAATTTCAGTTCGCCGCATTTGTATTGCGACCAAGTTGTCGTTAAAAATTGTGCAGCTGTCGTAAGTAGGTTTTGCGATCAAGACACTGGCCCCCTGTTTTTGCCTTAAATTTTCCCAATCGCTAACGAGTCTAACATTTATTCTTTTCTCGGGGTTTTCCAAGGTTTTACCGAATATTGAATTAGTTAAAAACTTAATTAGTTCAATTTCAAACTTTGTGCGCGCACTTGCCCGAAGTCTCGTGTTGAATTGAATAAATTCAGCCATCCACGCAGTTTGCCTGAACCGCAATACTCGATGCACCTTCCGTAAAATCAACCCGTTGGCCACAGCTTGCTTTAAGCACCGGTAGTGCGTCACAAATCTGAAACAAGGTAAAACAGAAAATGTAACAAATGTTGGTTGGTTGGCGTACCGTATCGTTCTTACTTTGTTTTGTTGTATAGGTTTGCTATTAATTTTTTATAGCGCTTCCTGCTGCCTCCGCCGCCGCCGCCGCCTCGTCCTTGGCGTGTACCGATTGGCGGCTCCATGTTTTCCGCAAAGAACGGCAGGTCGGCGTGCGTGTCGTGTATCGCAGCTGGATAGTCTAAGTCAACCTCAACAATATAGCCGACGTCCCCGTCGTCCGGTACATTTAAAATGTCCAAAGCGCATACTTCATCGGGCGTTAGAAATTTAAAACTGTCAATCGGTAGTTTTTCCGAAAGACTCGACCCGTACAAGTTATTAAAATCTAGTTGAAGCATGAACTTTGAACTTTTCTCCGGATCGTAATCGGCCATATATTTGTTGTTCGCTTCGGCATAGTGAACGTTGCATTGTGACAGACCACCCCTTATATTTCGTAGTATAAACTGGGTCATTTCAACGTCTGTCATCAATTCAAGTTCGACTTTTGTGTGTTTTTTCATGCAATCGAACGAAAGACTCGGCGCTGTAAGGTAGTGGCATGGGTCAAGACCGTAATGCTTTAGGCAAAAGTGCCTAAAGTTTTGAAAGACGTCGGCCAACAGGAACACGTCAGTTTTCAAGTATAGTTCGGCGTAGTCCCCCAACGTATCACACCCGAACGTTCGCCACACGTTCTGAGCACGTTCATATTCTTCGTCTGACACATGACTCATTGACATTCGGTTGTAGAACTTTTCCTTGGCCGGTAGACTCGTCTCGCTCAACACGCTCGGGTCGGTAAAATACTCATACGGCATAATACCCTTCGTTTTGGCTAGCTCGAACTGCTCGTCATCCGGATACAGCCCGCGCGTTAGAACCAATTGCTCGTCCGTCAGCGTTTTCGTTATTTTGTCTAGGGACCCGGGCAGGAAGCGGTACGAGTCGACAAACCGCATAATCATGGTCCGGTTGGTTTTATCATCGCCGCCGTCGCACCTTAAGTACTTTGACAAACTTATATACTTTTCCTTAGTCTTGGCCAGCACCTTAATCGGACTTTTGTCTTTGTTCAAAGCTTCGGTAATTAGGTGTGAGTCATAACTGCAGAAATTGTGGAAAAAGATTGGGACGTACGACGGGGTTCTCAGCTTTAAGTTGCACTCGTTATGCGCTGCTCCACGGTACCGGCCTGTAAACAAAAAAAAAATGTATTTTCCGTTGTATACTGCTGTTGTTGTTGTTGTTGTTGTTTAGCGTATATATTACCTGTAAAATGGTCGTGATCCCTGACCGCCTCACTATGATTCAACGGCTCTTCGCACACATAGCACTTTGTCACCGATCTGAAGGCCTCTTGTTCATCGCTCGTTAACGGCAACATGGGCATCGGTTTTGCTATAATTTTCGATATCTCATTGATATCTCGTTGCAGCCGCTTAACGAATTCGTCCATGCAATTGGGGCCGGTGTACACTTCAAATTTGTCCAATCGGTCATCGTACCAGCACTTAATTAAATACGCAAAGCTCATTGGTTCGTGAGCCGCAATGTCATATGTATATGACTCACCTTCAGTAATATCGTGCGGCGGCTCAATCGGTTTTAAAAAGACTTCGGTGTCGGCGTAAATTACAAACGGTGCTGGTATCTGGTACTGATGATTTTTGAATTTCATTATGTTATTTTTCCCGACTTCCGGCAGAGTAACTTTGCATTTGCGGCATTCGTGGTTGATGAATTGCGTCCTGGAGTAAAAATACAAGAGACACCCGTCGCACAGATATTTCCTCGTTCGGTGCTGGCTGACCTGTTTACTAATTAACCGATCGATGTCAGTAATTAGCGCGTAATGTCCGTCACTTCGGCGGTCAGAGGTCATGTATAGCAAGTTTACGTGCTGCGGGCGTTTTTCTTGAGTGTAGTAAAGCGGGCCGACTAATTTTTTGTTTTGCAGAGTGTACACGTTAACGCTTATGTTGTTTTGTTGCTCGAATTTCGGTATGCTTTTTAATTGCACGGGAGTCGAAATACCGGTTGTGTCCAGCACGTCGCTATAGTGTGGGTACGATGTAGTTAATTCGGCTTGTATAGTTTTCGAATTTACCGGATGTAGTTTAGCCACAATAGACCAGAAAAAACACGCTTGATCCATATTGGCTATTGACAGAACAGCGTTTTTTTTTCTAATGTCCTTAGGAAGCTTTATCCAACACGAACCTTTGAGTGGGTCGTACTGACAAATTGACACTTCCATGTGAACGACTTCCCGCAAGGTCCATCCAGTATCTCGTTCGGCGAATTCCTCAGCGTCGCGCTTTATACTCTCGGTGAAGTCCTTGTAGATGTTGTGAATATCAGATCCTTGGGTAATCGACACCGGTGGCACGTTAAAGCTGAAAACGCTGCTGTCCGTTTCGGTTGTTTCGGCTGTGTTGTCGTCCGGGGCTCTCGTTTTTTCAAACAGCGCGTACAGTTCGACGCTCGCCTTAATCGCAACGTGCTGTTTGGTCGTTCTGTCCAATAACTCGATCACCTGGTTGCCACAATTGTTCATAAACTCGGCCACGCCAAACTGTGAATTTGTATTTGTCACTTTGTACAATTCTATTTTATCGCCAAACGCCGAGTCGACTAATTCAACACCTATAATTAGATTTTTTCTGTTTAGCATTTTTTTTTTTGTATTATTTACACCAATATTTTGCAACTCACTTGTATGGTTTACCGCTGCCCCGCCGCCGCCGCAGCTTGGACCTGCATCACCCGCTCTCTCAGTTTGCATATCGTCCAGGCCTACCCACTCGCCCGATAATTGCTCGTCGTCGTCTTGGTTTGGCCAAAATTCAGGTACAACTTCAACTACTTCGTACGTCTGTTCGCGTTGCGTCTCATGCTCTGTATGATTATTATTATTACTATTTTTGAGTATTAAAGTTATTAACATTTTTTTTTCACTTACGGTTGTCCCAATGTAGACCGTAACCGTATCGTTCGACGTTTTCTATCGCGTCTAAAAGTATAAAAGTATTGTATTCTTATTTCGTTTATTTGATTAATTTTTAACTCACCCTGAGGATGTACGACTTCTGCGAGATGTCGCGATAGGTTGTCGGGTCTGTTGAATGTTTGGTGACATTTGTGACATCTGAATACCAACTTTTCCGGGTCATGAGCCGTTCGCATGTGTCGGCTGCGATTGCTGTTGATCGTATAAGTTTTATCGCATAAGCCGCAAGGAAACATCGTTGTTACTGGCTTGGTCCTCGCTCTAGCTCCTAGTCGTCCGTATTACTAGTAATCGCCCCGTTGTGCCCCCCTTTTAACCAACACTCGTTTCCGGTAACCGATCCTCATTCTCTTGTTTAAACTATAACCGTTTATTGTTACCACTTTCGCAATTTCATCTGCCTTATGCAATCGCAGGTGCCTGACGGTCACCGGGCGTTGTTTTATCTTTTAGTAATTTTTTTAATTATTCTACGCTTAGGATAAGTTAACAAATAACTCGGATATTTTATTTTATATTTTATTGTGCAACCAATATAACATTTTTTAATTTTACATCGGTAACCTTATTGCTTGGCCTTGCTGCTACTGCTGCCGCCGCAGCTGCTATCATTGTCCGTCGATCCTTCATTGTTCGATTGGCGGCGGCGCCTTCGCATTCTTAAATTATTGTTTCATAAAATTAAAATCGCTTTTTTTTAATAATAATATTAATTTCGGACGTTACCTAAATAGTATAATAACTGGCTGAGCTCCAGTACCATGAATATGATATACATGTCCATCGGGGCTAACGGTTTCGATTTGAACCCCGGTTTCTAAATTGTTGTATACTAACGCATCATTGTTAGATAAAAAAAAAAACATAAACAATTACGGACTTTTATTCATACTTTACCTTGTAATAACCAGTTAATATTCTCCATATTTTATTCACCGATACACTGTGTCTTCGACGCGTCAGTGGATTATGCAATATTCTAGTTGACTAATATCAGACTAAGACGTCGAGTTATTATACTTTTTTTTTACCATTCAGCGTGCGTTTGTGTGTGTCTACAGGCCACCTGCACCGGTTTTTTTTATTTACTATTACAACCATCAGACGTATGTGTTCGCATCGTCGTCGTACAATGTTTACCCCGCAGGCACCTAGTTTTTTTTTTGCATACACATCAACCGACGACGGCTGTACACATGTCGTACGATGATGACCCTACAGTTATACACGCTCACCGGTCCATATAGGACTGCTGACACCTGGTTTTTTTTTTTGCATACGCATCAACCGACGACGTCTGTACACATGTCGTACGATGATGACCCCTACAGTTATACACGCTCACCGGTCCGAATAGGACGTTCTATCGCATCGTTAAATTATTATTATTTTTTACCTAGTACTCGGTGGTTTAAAACAAAATACAATGTTTTGTAAAGATGCCCACACACAATTTTTTATTCAACGATTGTAAATTACATTTTTTTTTTTATTCAAATACAATATCATGTACGTTAGTCCCTGGCATTTTCCCACGGTATCGTAGTTTCAAATTCGGATCGACGCCTCTTCTTATCTCGTCTTCGCTCATTTCATACCTCGGTGGCAAATACACTTCCAACGGTTTTTCAAAGCCCATTTGCACTACGACCACCGGCGTGAAACTGCTAAATTTCGTTTTCACCGATTTGAAGCCCAACACTTTGTACGGTACGTTAATCTGCAATTCTGATATATGCTGCCGATGCGTCTTGAGCCAATCGTCGCTTTTTTGATTGAGCAGGTTGCTTGTAATTACATTCATCTGTCGAAAAAGTTTTAACTATAATAATGCAACCGACAATCGAGTTATTATTATTTTATCACTCACCTCTACGTTGTTGTTGTTGTTGTAGTTTGCTTTATTCATCACAACCACCACCACCACTGGAAGTTTTCTTATGTGCGCTGAACTGGTCACTGTTTGTACCGTATTCTTTACAGTATTTATACGCATTTCCACACAGCCATCATCCGTTTGCCGTTGTCCAATCATATCGTTTTAAAAACCGCGCGCGCGCTGTTGCAACCATCTGCTGTGTACACCCTCAGTCTATGCATTATAATCATTGGACGCATCATGGTTTGTCTAAACTTAGTTGTCCAAAGTTTAGCTGTAATATTTGACTCAGCTCACTTTGGTCAACTGGGCCTAGTACGCCATCAAAACGACCGTTGTATTATTATCAACACATTATAGCTAAATCTATCACACCACATGGATACCAACATTTTTTTCTTATCACTAATAACAATCTGTTATACCACATCATTTTTTCCCCGCCAAATTTTTTCTTATCACTGATAACAATCTGTTATACCACTTGGATACCAACATTTTTTACCGCCAAATTTTTTCTTATCACTGATAACAATCCGTTATACCACATGGATACCCACATTTTTACCGCCAAATTTTTTCTTATCACTGATAACAAAATTGATAACAATTTTTTTGATAAAGGAGGATCATCCTCGAGGATCACTGATAAGAGAGGATGATCCTCACCCAACTATATACTACTTATATATATAGTTAATTTTCTAAGGACTTTTCCGTCCAAAACATTGTTCTATTTCTATTAAATCATAAAAATGTTTTTATTATTTTTAATAAATACATCTAACTGACTTTAGGTGAAACCTGTATTTTTTATGAATCGACCTCTAACTACACCGTCTCAAAATACACACGATTCAACTATATCATATATTTTAAAAAAATTCCACCCAAGTAATTGAAATTAACTCGAATTATCCTAACATTTATCTTTCCAGATGAAAATGAAAACTTCCTACATTTTGATATCCTTAATCTGCGTAAATGTCATATCGATGGCAGATATAAGTATAAGTAAGTATTTTATTTTCATACTTACCATCACAGGGTAGATAAAATTCGAAAAAAAAATAATATTTAACTTTTCTTTACAGTGGACTACATAGAGATGGTTGCAATTTCAAGTTAGTAACATTTTATAATCGTACAGAATAACTTTGTGTTTCTTAAATTTTGCGAATTTCATCCATACCTATTTTTTAAAAACATTTACTACAGACTTGCAACTCCGGAAAGCTACTGCAGATGAAAATAATACATTTGAAAGTAAGATAATAATTAATACACTAATATATAGTTGTTGTGCAATGATTGACTAAGTGTCCAATAATTTGTAAATTAAATATAAATTTATTTAAGAATTTAGAGGATGCTATCCATGCATTTTTATGGTATTAAAATATGAGTTTGCATTCATAGTACAGTGTTTCCAAAAACATGAGAGTAGTAGCATCTTCTTAAAGTGGTAGTTTAATATTCTCGATTGAGTCTGTGCACTATTGCACATGGCCACGAGCCTTCACTTAAAGTTACTATAATTTACTATGAGCACATCTGACTCTAGAAATTGACAATTTACCCCAACAGGGGTAGTCGGTAAAGTATCTTATTTTAAGAAAGGTAAAATAAACCATGTTCTACCCTCCCCCCCCCCCATATAATTAAGTTTAGTCGTTGTCATGTCATTAGGTTTCAAATGAATTTAATATAATAGAGCTAAGTATTTTGTTCCCAATAACAAATACAAATATTTTTTTTTTTTAACTTTTCTACTTAGTTTTTGATAAAATAGAAAATTAAATTCACTACGATTAATTTTTGTGTTGCTAATTTCAGAGAATTATAATCAAATGTTCACTGTACCGGGTAATAATTTTATAATTATATTATAATATTACCACGCAGTCTTTTAATAACCATTATGTATACAACGTTAACGCTATAATTTCAGAACTTGCAGAAACTCACAACTAAAACCTTCTACAAGGTAATCAATTCTTACTTCTATGTATTTCAAATTCAATATTAATAATGCTTCACAAAGAATTACATTTACAATATTAGTTTTTAATACGCGAAAATATGTACATAATATATGTTTATATTTTTTTTAAATTTAGAAACCATAATGACAGAAAAAAATACTTTGCCGAAAATATTCGATATTATAGGTGAATATTTTTAGTAAACAATTTATTAAGCGTGAAAGCAAACAATCTACTAAAATATTAGATTAGTACATTTATTGGTATTTCAAACAAATTTTACACAATTTTAATGTACACGGAAAACATTTAGGTTCATCAAGGAATAATAGTTCACAAGAACTTTTGTGAAAGACAGAATTAATACACATAAAAAAACCAGATTATTATACAATTAATTATGAAGAATGCATTTTTCCAAACGTTGCAACTTGATAGAGATTAATTTTATGTTAATAAAAAGTTTTGCGTTAATTAATTGGTCAAAGTTATTTTATTTTTTGAGTAACTGTTATGGATAAATATAACAACTTGGTTTAAGTAGCTGTAATATTGTTTAAATTCTTGTTTCAGGTATCGCTGCTGACTAACCTAAAAGTAAATACGAAGTTATTCAAAAGTTAATTAATATTAACGCTATATTTGAAATTGATTAATTGAAACTGTTATGGATAATAAATACAGCAAACCGAGTTTGAATAACTAAATTATTTTTTAAAATTGTTTTTACAGGTATTCCGGTGGCTGATGAGAGTAACCAAAGTAATTACAAAGTTATTCATTAGTAATAGAAAAAACTTATGATTTTATTGAACAATCAAATGCTCTTTATACATTATTTTGTTATCAATTTTTAACATTTTACCACAAAAACAATTTTTTTACGTAATAGATGGATCACTTTTTATGTTAACAAACACTTATGACCTGACAGATAAAATAGGATAATAGTTTTTGTTGTTAGATATGTTTTTGAAGAGACGGTTGAATCATATCATATATGTATATATATAAATGTAGACGACATTTGGTGTCAGTCAATCGTTTTTTTTTTTGTTAAATTCACCGAACTTATTAGACATGTAAATAATTTTAATTTACTTTGAGTAGACAGTATCTTTTGTAAGTGAAATATAGAATTTTCTTAGTCGCCTATTTGTTATATAATAGTATGAGGGATAACACAAAACATAAAATGAATAAGAAAATAGTGTTATTACTATCACATTTTCCTTTGGTCGCAACCATCGTATTCATAGCAAATTGCACAGTGCCAATTTTCTTGTTTATACTTATTTTTAGCTCAAGTTATTTTTATTGTAATTTTCTGTTTTGTATAATGTTACATATCATATATTTTCTATCTTTGTATTATACTTCTTATAATACTGTGTATTTTTCTTCATATATTGTACTTTTTATGCGTTATTTGTGTAATGAATGCGTATAAAGACTTTTAATATCAATATCATATATAAATACAAATATAATTTTGAATATTGTAATTTTAACAATCTTATATATAATATTATGATTTTATAGTTGTATTATATTATTTTAAGGTAAAGAAACTACAAAAGGCATCAAACTTGGAGGATTGGCGAAAAGTTATCTTAAACAAGGTTGTAAAATGTTAGGTAGGTAAATATAAATTTACAATTTTAAAGATGTTACTTTTTATAACAGCATGATTCTTTATGGATAACACAATCAAATTTTTTAAAACTATATTGATAGCTTGTGGTTTTTATTCATAGATACTTTAATTTATTTATTTTATAGTATTACACATACATTTAAATTTGTTTCTAGAGTGGGGGGGGGGGCAATAGCGGCTCTATATTTATACTTTATTCAGCATTGATTAATTGAAACTGTTATAAAAAAATACCAAAATAATAAATACAAACCGGGTTTGATTAACTATATAATTGAATGTTTTTTTTGTTACAGGTTGTGCTCCGCATGATAATGAAAAGCAACGTAAATACAATGTTATTCGTTAGTAGTAAATAAAACTTATTGTATGTTTAAAAGATAACATTTTTTTAATATTTTTTTTTGTATACACAATTTTGACCATAATATATTATTATAAA